TATCAAATATATACTACAAAGCAGTACAAGGCAAGGCAAACAGAAAGGTTCATTGAAACTTGTCACCCACCATATATCAGAATTATAAGAAAAAACAATATATCGATCACACTGCCTCATTGTGATATCAACTCTCAAATTACCATACGTCATTTTGAAGAGAATTCAGGCGGAAACAATAATCGTTTATAACTCTAATGTATTCAAAAAACACACTTCAAAGTGAGATTTCCCAAACAAGTGTCATCACAAATGAGTTTTCCATTCCATAGAAAAAATAAACTCAACGTTTGAGAGTCTATTTGCAAAATTTACAGTTAGACAAATGTATCTTAGTCATGAACGTGTTTCATAAATGCAGATATACATAAATAAATGCCGTATAACTACTTTCTAGATGGTGGATGTTAAAACCATGGTTCTCAAATGCTTTGTAAACGGGGTCATGCTTTCAATTTCAGTTACTTACTTAGCTTTAATATTACCATAATTCGGCATGGTACTGGCCAACATTCGATATTCTTCTTTTATCAGAGACACATAATTCAATGAAGTATTTAGCAGATCTTTTCCAAGCGCATCTTGCATTATGAAATTTTTATAGTTCTGGTGCCGTAGATGACCTTTTCCAAAATAGTTCACTCCATAGACACTTGCTATTCCTATACTCTCGATGCTTTTCAGGAGATTTTTGAAGGCCAATAGGTATCTAAAAAAAGTAAAATTATTAAAACTGACGATATAAATTCGGAAATATAAAAATGAAAGTGAAATCTATTAGTATCCAGGTGATCATCCAAAGACATAATAACCATCTAAATTCTACTCATGACTGGAGAGCGAGCAGCAGATTCCATTGACTTTTCGTGGGACGGACCGTTTTTATTCCCACCAACAATGACATTTCTTGATTTCAAATTCGTACTACAAGTTATCTGCCAGCATCTTGTACGATCGAATAATCTAACGTGTTCTCGAGTATAAGAGCAGAGTCAAAAAAAGGATTGTTAAGACTAGAAGGGATCTGGGCAAAGCAAATAGCCCAGGTAGAGCGCAAAATATATATATAAGACGTACGTGTTGTTCCTGGCGTTACTTTATTAACAAAATGTTTCTCTTTGACGTTTGAAATGAACAAGTTACGTTTCTGCACATTTTGTTACATTCAGAGAAACTTTCAACTGACAGTTGAAGCATCAGAACTGACGTATCAAAAATCTGACAGTTGACGAGTCATAAGTGAGAGATAATGTATCGATTTCAGTGATTTTTT